CCTGCAATCTAAGAGTACTCTGAGCTTACTGACTTACTTAGGCGATCCCTCGTTGGACGAGTAAGATGGTCTTCCTTGATGACTATTTTTGTGGGTTTGTAGGTGGCTGTGGAGCCATCTACAAACCCTGAGCTACACCAATGATGGTCCTGGAACTAACACAGAGAGCTTCTGTTCAACCATTTCAAATCTCTGTGCTTGGGTGGTGATGGCAATATTGTCAGTATAGATGTCTCTTCTGGCAGTGGAAACTAATGTGACCAGTTATAGGCAGACACATGGCTCCATCATATGCTAATGTACTTATGAGTAAACTAGGACAAACCATCCTCAAGGTATCCAAGTGTGGATCTGATGGAGTATATTCACTTATAGCAGTGTTTGTCTTTCAGCTATTGCACATAAAGAGATAGTTATAGATCAATACATTTACTCTAGATGAGGTTTGAGCAAACCTTCCTTTGACTGCATTGCCCCAAATTACATTGGCTGTATTTTATCCGTCACATCACACTGTTGACTTACAAAACACTTGATCTAAATACGATCTAAGACCCCTTAGATTCCCCCCCCCCCCATATGTCATGTTCTCAAGCCACTCCTTTCATATTTTTCCCAATTTCTCCCGGTTGAAAGTAATATTGTGAACTTTCGCCCAGATCCAGACTCCATTAAAGTCATTTAGATTTTGGACCCTGTCCCAGTTTGATGTCATCCAAAGATTTGATAAGTAAACCTTATGTTCTGTAATCAAAGTCATTGACAAAGATGTTAAGCAACACTGAGCCCAGGAGAAAACACCAAAGAAAACACTAGTCACTTCTCTCAAGGATGAAGCTGATAAACACGAATCCATCTCAAATTCCTTCCATTATCTGACTCATGTTCTTGAAATTGTCCTACTCTGTAGAGGCATGTCATTCATCTTGCCCTTCCAGAAGAGTCTTCAGTGTTCTTCCCAAATATGTTTTGTCCTCCCTGATAAATTGAAGGGTAGATATTTATTTATTTACAGTATTTATATTCTGCCCTTCTCACCCTGAAGGGGACTCAGAGCAGATCACAGAACACATGCAAACATTCAGTGCCGGTTATACAATTACAAGACAGACAACATAGATAGAGGTATATATAGGCTTTCCCATCTTTTGGCACCTTGGAGGTTGTACGCAGTTCTGCCCACAAGGGGGTGGTGTTGCTCCATGTTTCCTACCAAAGAGCTCTTTTGTATGTAAACTTCCTCCTTTTTGATAGAATCGCCATGCCTAAATACCTCCCCGCTTTTAGCGCGGTCCCTATTTATCTACTCACATTGCTGTTTTCAATCCGTTAGGTGGACAGGGAGCTGGGCTGAAGGTCAGGAGCTCACCCTGACCCGGGCTTTGAACTGCCAACCTTCTGGTTGGCCAAATTTACTACAGCTGGTGATTAACCTGCTGTTCTAAAGCCTGGCCCAGATACACACAGGTTACAGACTATTGCATCTTTTCTCCTGGAAGGGATACCAGGTTGCACTTCCTGCAGGTGTTATTCTCCTCCTATTTCCTGGTCTCCACAAAGTGAGGCAAGAGCTATATATCAGACGAGGGACTGCTAACCAGTGACATAGAAGAAGCCCTGCCCTTTTAGATCATGTGTTCAGGGCAGAGCACACACCCACAACAAAAACACCCATGCAAGATTTTACATGCATCTATGAATACATAAGAACATAATTATTTAAACTTGTCCAGGCAATCTTTCGGAGTAAGAGCTTATATTGCTGCGCTTCAAAGATTTAAAAGTCTGCACTGATGTAGAGCTAGGTAGCCTTTGCAAAGAAAATTTTAATTAATGGAACATAGAGGCAAAAATGTGAGCATGGGTTCAACCCACTTCCCTGTGTCTAGAGATTCTTGGGAGGCATCCCATAGTGATAACTCACTATTCATTACAATAGCGTTATTTTATTATCTTTTCCCTAGACTTTACGGCAATAATTATTGGGGTAAATTGTGTGTCCTATGCCTAGTCTACATCCCCTGAACCAGTGGCTCCCAACCTTTTTTTAAAACAAGGGACCACTTGACCAGGGAGCACTTTGATCAGGTACCACTTGACCAGGGGCTACTTTATCAGGGACCCCTTGACCAGGGACAACTTTGACCAGGGAACACTTGACCTGGAACCACTTGACCAGGGACCGCTTTGACCAGGGACCACTAGATCAGGGACCACTTTGACCAGGGACCACTAGACCAAGGACTATTTGACCAGGGACCACTAGACCAGGGACTACATGACCGGGAACCACTAGACCAGGGACTACTTGACCAGGAACCACTAGACCAGGAACTACTTGACCAGGGACCCCTTGACCAGGGACCACTTGACTGGGGACAACTAGACCAGGGACCACTTGACCAGGGACCACTTTAACCAGGGACCACTAGACCAGGGACTACTTGACCGGGGACCACTAGACCAGGGACTACGTGACCAGGGACCACTAGACTAGGAACTACTTAACCAGGGACCATTTTGACCAGGGACCACTAGACCAGGAACTACTTGACCAGGGACCATTTTGACCAGGGACCACTAGACCAGGAACTACTTGACCAGGGACCACTTGACCAGGGATTCTCCTCCTCTTCCCCACCAAAGCTGTGTGTTTATCTCTTATTTTATGTTTATATTTGACTTATTGTTGTTTATAATTGCTGGAATTGTCCAATTGTACTAACAACAACATCAACAACAATAATAGAACAACAGTAGTGCAGGAAGGCAGGATTACCAGTGAAACTACGATAGTGTGATAATGCATTGGTAAATCAGTGCAATTGTGCTACTAAAGAATGTTGTGATATAGAAGTTGCTCAACATGGTATGTATCTGTTATCAATGATGACATGATTGTGAAAAGCATATGTCTGTGTTTTAAATGGATTAAGAATTCGCTGGTTTTTCTGTAATAGGCAGTAAGAGCACTTAAAGCTTCGGAGAGCTTCTGTCCAGCCATTTCAAAGCTCCCTGCTTGAGCATTGATGGCATGATCATCAGCATAGATGGAAGTCTCTGTCCTTTCTGGCACTGGCTGATCATTTGTGTAAATATTAAATATTGGTTGAGCAGGCATGCTCTCCTGAGGCAGGCTGTTCTTCTGTTTCCACCACCTTCTTCTCTGACCTTGGAATTCAACAAAAAAGCTCCTGTTTTGTAGCAGATTTCCTATGAAGCGAGTGAGGTGATAATCTTTTGTGATATTATACGTTTTTCTCAGGAGAAGGCGATGGTTTACAGTGCCATAAGCTGTTAACAAGTCTATGGAGACAGCTCCTGTAATCTGCTGTCTTTCAAAACCGTCTTCTATTTGCTGAGTCAGGTTCAACACTTGTGATGTGCAGCTTTTGCCTTTCCTGCAAGTTGCGTCTGGTTGCTTGTTGTATGAGAGAATCAGCCAGCTACAAAGGCGATGCCCAGGGGACGCCTGGATGTGTTGTAATCCTGTGGGGAGGCTTCTCTCCTGTCCCCATTGGCAGGGGTGGGGTGCCATCTTGTCCTTCAACTCAGAGAGACATATCTTAGTCCACCTTTCCTTTTGCTCAAGATTCATTGGATGGCAAGGAATTGTCTCATCCTCCCACGATGATAAGTGGAGAAAGGATGTGTGTATAATTTCTTTCTTTTCTATGGGAGATCCCTATGCTATTCCCTAGCCATCAACAAGGCTCTGTGATATTTTGTAGAGGAATTCTTCTGTATGCATACTTACTTTACTTTCTTAGGCGATCCCTCATTGTCCGAGTAGGATTGTTTTCCAAGATCAGTGTACTGCCGGTGAGTCCGTAGGTGACTGTGGAGCCCTATTCTCGATCTGCATCTTCTCCGCAGTGAGGACATTGGTTTCTAGGTGGAAGGTGGTCCCGGTTGGGGTTGGCTTGACACGCCTTCCTCTTGGCACGTTTCTCTCTTTTGCCCTCCATTCATGCCTCTTCAAATTCTACAGCACTGCTGGTCACAGCTGACCTCCAGCTGGAGAGCTCAAGAGCCAGGGCTTCCCAGTTCTCAGTGTCTATGCCAGAGTTTTTAAGGTTTGCTTTGAGCCCATATTTCAATCCCCTTTCCTGCCCACCAACATTCCATTTTCTGTTCTTGAGTTCAGAGTAGAGCAACTGCTTTGGGAGATGGTGGTCGGACATCCGGACAACGTGGCCGGTCCAGCGGAGTTGATGGAGGAGGAGCATCACTTCATTGCTGGTGGTCTTTGCTTCTTCCAGCATGCTGACATTTGTCTGCTTGTCTTCTCAGAGATTTGCAGGATTTTCTGGAGACAGTGCTGATGGAATCGTTCCAGGAGTTGCATGTGACGTCTGTAGACAGTCCACGTCTTGCAGGCATATATCAGGGTTGGGAGGACAATAGCTTTATAAACAAACACCTTGGTATTCCTACGGATGTCCCGGTCCTCAAACACTCTCTGCTTCACTCAGAAAAAAGCTGCACTCGCAGAGCTCAGGCGGTGTTGAATTTCAGTGTCAATGTTGACTTTTGTGGAGAGGTGCCTGCCAAGGGAGCGGAAATGGACAACATTTTCTAATGTAACACCATTGAGCTGTATTTCTGCCATTGGGGAGGGATTGACTGGTGACTGCTAGAAGAGAACTTTGGTTTTCTCGATGTTCAATGACAGGCCAAGCTTCTCGTATGCTTCTGCGAAGGTGTTTAGAGTGGCTTGTAGGTCTTCTTCTGAATGCACACAGACGACGTTATCATCAGCATATTGGAGTTCTATAACAGATGTTGTAACCTTGGTTTTGGCTTTCAGTCTGCTGAGGTTAAATAGGAGAGGGAACAGAGTTTGACTGGTGTTATTTTGGTCCTGTAATTGCTTACCCTCTTTGTGCAAACTTTGGAAATAACAGAGCTGTTTTGTCCCTCTAAGGATGCGTTCAAAGAACACATTTCTATCAAATGCAGATCTTAATCTTTTATCTCCATCTGCTTCTACTTGTCAGAGAGCCATTCGAGTCCGGAGCCACTCCATGGAAACCATGGTTGGAAGCCAGAAGAAACACCAAAGCGGAGGGATCCCGGGAAGCTTGAGCGGAGGGATTGCTCACAACAGTGCCGAAATTACAAAGACCACCTTCTCTGTATGTATCAGAGATTCTATGATTCTATGATTCTATGATTCTATCAAACAAATGAAGATGTTCTCATTTGTATTAAGAGATGGAAAGAAATCCCATTCAACTCATTATTTTGGAGTAGGAATTGAAATGTTTGTGACAAAAAATGTGCATTTCACTGCAAGCATTTGTGAAATGTTTACCGTATATACTCATGTATAAGTCAAGGATAATTTCTGCTCAACTGTAAATTCTATCCACTTCTTCTTTACTTCTTTGGGACTTTAGCATTGGGTTTAATTATAGCTGTATATTTATTCCTAACTAGTGTATCTGTATGTTACTTAACACACATGTATGTTACTTAAATTCAGTTTGTTAGAACAGAAAAGAATATTTTTCTGAGTGTTTTTATCCTTTGTCTTCTCAGCCTCCAGTTTCAGTGGCAACAGCCAAAAATCAATCAAGGAGTCCCATAAAGCGGCGGTCAGGATTGTTTCCCCGTTTGCACACTGGGTCCGAAAGCCAGTCAGAACCCCGGGCCCGATGGTAATTCAATAAATAAATAGTGCCCTCAGCCCTAGTGAATGTGGAAGGCTGTATATAGAACTCCTTCTCTCATGGTGGGATCATAAAACTTTAATTTGAGATAAGGCTGTCCAATTCTTCCGTTTGTTTTTTGTTGTGTCAAGAGTGACTTGAGAAACTGCAAGTCACTCCTGGTGTGAAAGAATTGGCCGTCTGTAAGGATGTTGCCCAGGGGACGCCCAGATATTTTGATGCTTTACCATCCTTGTGGGAGGCTTCTCTCATGTCCCTGCAATGGGGAGCTGGAGCTGATAGAGAGAGCTCATCCGTGCTCTCCCCGGATTCGAACCTACGACCTGTCGGTCTTCAGTCCTGCTGGCACAAGGGTTTAACCCACTGCGCCACCGGGGGCTCCATCTACCTTCTTCAGTGTAAAGGTGCTTACGCTTCCTTCCAATAATAATAAGAGTAAATTAATAAATGTAATAAAAATAATAAAGAGAGTAAAATAATAAATACAATAATAACAATAATAAATAGAGTAAAATAATAAATGTTATAAAAATAATAATAGAGTAAAATAATGTAAATGTAATCATAATAATAATAGAGTAAAATAATACATGTAATCATCATAATAATAGAGTAAAATAATGCAAATGTAATCATAATAATAAATAAAAATAATACATGTATTAATAATAATACTAGAGTAAAATAATTTTGAACTGTGGTGCTGGAGGAAAGTTCTGAGAGTGCCTTGGACAGCGAGAAGATCCAACCAGTCCATACTTCAAGAAATAAAGCCCAACTGCTCATTGGAGGGAAGAATCGTAGAAGCCAAGATGAAGTACTTTGGCCACATCATGAGAAGAAAGGAAAGCTTAGAGAAGCGTATGATGCTTGGGAAAATGGAAGGAAAAAGGAGGAGGGGCCAACCAAGGGCAAGATGGATGGATGGTATCCTTGAAGTGACTGGATTGACCTTGAAGGAGCTGGGGATGGTGACAACTGACAGGGAGCTCTGGCGTGGACTGGTCCATGAAGTCACGAAGAGTCGGAAACGACTGAACAAATGAACAAAAATAATGTAAATATAATAATAATAATAATAATAATAATAATAATAATAATAATAATAATAGAGTAAAATAATACATGAAATAATAATAGAGTAAAATAATACATGTAATAATAATAATAATAATAATAATAATAATAATAGAGTAAAATAGTGTAAATGTAATCATAGAATCATAGAATCAAAGAGTTGGAAGAGACCTCATGGGCCATCCAGTCCAACCCCCTGCCAAGAAGCAGGAATATTGCATTCAAATCACCCCTGACAGATGGCCATCCAGCCTCTGCTTAAAAGCTTCCAAGGAAGGAGCCTCCACCACACTCCGGGGCAGAGAGTTCCACTGCTGAACGGCTCTCACAGTCAGGAAGTTCTTCCTCATGTTCAGATGGAATCTCCTTTCTTGTAGTTTGAAGCCATTGTTCCGCGTCCTAGTCTCCAGGGAAGCAGAAAACAAGCTTGCTCCCTCCTCCCTGTGGCTTCCTCTCACATATTTATACATGGCTATCATATCTCCTCTCAGCCTTCTCTTCTTCAGGCTAAACATGCCCAGTTCCCATCATAATAAATTAATAATAAATAATAATAGAGTAAAATAATGTAAATGTAATAATAATAATAATAGAGTAAAATAATACATGTAATAATAATAATAATAATAATAATAAATAGAATAAAATAATACATGAAACAAAAATAATAATAACCCAGTAAAATAATAATAATAATAATAATTGAATATTGCTTGCAATGCATGGTGGATAATGATAAAGAACTTTGACTCGAGTATAAGCCGAGGAGGGCATTTTCAGCCTAAAAAAAGGGCTGAAAAACCCAGCTTACACTCAAGTATATACAGTAATTTATTTAGTGTTTTTTTGTAGGCATTGAATGTTTTCCATATGTATTGGAAACTGCCCTGAGTCCCTTTGGGGAGATAGGGTGGTCTACAAATAAAGTTTCATTATTATTATTATTATTATTATAGGAATTAAAAATCAACATTCTAAGGAAAGCTGTGTGGGGTATTCACCTGATCTCTTTTGGTCTCTCCATAGTGACAGCGGCTCAGGCACACCAAAGACCCCGGACGGAGGACATTCCTCCCAAGAGATGAAGTCAGAAGCTTCCTCAAACCCAAGCTCTCCAGAGATCTGTCCCAACAAAGAGAGGTAAGCACGATGGAGCAAATTCGGGGCACAGGTGTTTGGGAAATAATCCCATCATTACATTGCTCCCTGTTCTACAAGTTTGAGGAACACTCTGTGAAAGAAACTTCACTGCTATTTGGATTCCCAGCAGCATTACAGTCATCACAAGATCTTTCAATAGTAATGTGGGCTCATATGCATTGTTAAGCAAAATAAATATGAATTGAATATTGCTTGCAATGCATGGTGGAGCAATCCGCCAGGAAATTAAAAAGACAAATGGCAGGGTGGGCATCTTGAAACTTCCTGTTCAGAGAGGAAGGATTTTCTCATCTTCTGATTTTCTCTCTCTTGCTGTCAGGCCGTTCATTAAACTCAAAGAGAACGGAAGGGCAAATATCTCCCGCTCCTCTTCTAGCACCAGCAGCTTCAGCAGCACAGCCGGAGAGAGTGAAAACATGGAAGAATGCGAAAGTGTGGTAATGCAGATTTCTTTTCTTGAACTCGATGGATCTTATTTTCTTGATGCTAAAGCAGTGTTTCTCAACCTGGGTGTCAGGACCAGAGGGGTCGCCAAAGACCATCAGCAAACACATATTTCTGATGGTCTTAGGAACCCCTTTGGCAGAGAAGGCTGAAGATCTCTCCACCTGTCCTCTTCCTTTTTGGAAACAGATGGTGAATCCTCCCATCAAAAACCCTCCTCTGCTGTGATTGGCCGGTCTCTCAGAGCAGCCTCCTAGCCAAGGGAAAGGTTGTTTCTGAGACTTCAAGTGGGGAGGGAAGTGCAGGCGAGGTCGGCGCATGGCAATGTAGTACACATGTGCGGGCGAGGGAGAGCAGGCAAGGCTGGAGGGAGGCTCACACCAGGAAGTCCCTTCAAAGCATGAGGGTTCTGTTTGAGAAGTTTTGCCCAATTCTATCATTGGTGGGGTTCAGAATGCTCCTTGATTATAGGTGAACTAGAAATCCCAGCAACTACAATTCTCAAATGTCAAGGTCTATTTTCCCCAATCTCCACCAGTGTTCAAATTTGGGCATATTGAGTATTCCTACCAAGTTTGGTACAGATACATCATTGTTTAGGCGAAAGTTTGATAGCTGGGACCCTACGCATAGCTGGAACCCGTATGCTGGTTGCGCAACGCGCGTCAGAATTAATGAAGGGAAGTTTGCTTGGACTGCTCCCAGCTGCTTTCTTCAAAGGGCAGAAAGTGTGTTGGTGACTGGGGAAGGTTTTTACAAAGCCCTAGTGTGAACAGAGTGGCAGGAACTGGATTCCCCCTCTTCCCCTCTTCTTGTGCTTTCCCCCACCCGCTTTCTGACAGTGTGAGCCATAGATCCCCTTCTCCTCCCTCCCTCGCAGCTGCGTCTCTCACTTAGTGCGCTGTCTTGCACACGTGTTCCCTTCATGAATTCTGATACGCGGTGCACAACCAGCATAGGTCCAGCTATCATACTTTCGCCATTGTTTGAATTCACAGTGCTCTCTGGATGTAAGTGAACCATAACTCCAAAACTCAAAGTCAATGCCCACCAAACTCTTCCAGTATTTTGTGTTGGTCATGGGAGTTCTGTGTGTCAATTTTGGTTCAGTTCTATCATTGGTGGAGTTCAGAAGGCTCTTTGATTGTAGATGAACTATACATCCCAGCAACTACAACTCCCAAATGACAAAAGCAATCCCCCCAACCCCACCAATATTCAAATGTGGGCATATCGGGTATTTGTGCCAAATTTGGCAGTATTTTGTGTTGGTCATGGGAGTTCTGTGTGTCAATTTTGGTTCAGTTCCATCATTGGTGGTGTTCAGAATGCTCTTTGATTGTAACTACAACTCCCAAGTGACAAAAGCAATCTCCCCAACTCCTCCAGTATTCAAATGTGGGCATATCGGGTATTTGTGCCAAATTTGGTTCGGTGAATGAAAATTCATCCTACATATCAGATATTGACATGACAATTCATAACAGTAGCAAAATTACAGTTAAGAAGTAGCAAAAAAAATTTTTTTATGGTTGTGGGTCACCACAACATGAGGAACTGTATTAAGGGGTCATGGCATTAGAAAGGTTGAGAAAAGTGCTCTAACAGTAGCGTATTCGCAACCTGTATAAGCTATGCCTCTCCTTGTCTTCCTCATGTTTTGGCTGCTCCAGAATCATTCCTGGCCTTTCTTGAGGTCCCAATCAAGGGTTTCTCAACCTCAAGTCAAAAATACAGTGGGAGGGATTGATATGCAAGCTTGGTAGATGAAGGGAATGCTTTGGATGTAGCATTCCTTGACTTCAGGAAGGTCCTCCACAAGACCTTCCTGAAGTCTTCCTGAAGAATATCAAGGTTCTCCATGATATTCTTGTAAACAAACTAGAAAATGTGGATTAGACAACAGTACTGTTAGGTGGATTGGGAATTGGTTGTGTAACCAAACCGAAATAATCATTCTGGGGAGAAGAAACTAGTGGGGTGCCACTGAGTTCCGTCCTGGACAGAATGCTAGTCAACATATTTATCAATGACTTGTGATGAGATTAACAAGCATAGAAAGGATGCTGTGTATGAAAAGTTGAATAAACTAAGTATCTTTTTTCAAGGGGGGAGGTGGGAGGACGACTGAAGGTAGAGGATGGTTGCATTCTTCAAAGACATGGAGATAAAGTGGATTTGATTTAGCTCTTGGATGACATCTGCTGGGCTGGTTCCTCATTCCTGTCCAAAGACTAACTGAACTCCTCTCGCTTCCCAAAGGGCAGCCAACCTTCCACGGCCTCCTCATATAAGCAAGACGTCTTTATCTACAGCCCATCCCAAAGCATTGAGAATCCAGTTCTAGCATCTGCTTCGACACCAGTGATCATGAACAGGAGTCCCACAGGTGAGTTGCGCCAAAATACTGATGTTTATTTCAGTATATTATATCGTATATTATGGTGGCCCCGTGAATTGCATAGGGTTGTGAGGTCTCACAACCTCTGAGGATGCTTGCCATAGATGAAAGCGAAACATCAGGAGAGAATGCTTCCAGAACATGGCCAGACAGCCTGAAAAACTTACAACAACCCAGTGATTCTAGCCATGAAAGCCTTTGACAATACCTAGATGTTGTTTCTAATGTATGGTTTTCCTTCAAAGAATTGCAGTGCTTGTGTCATTTGATAAGGGCTTTGAATTCATAACTGTATATGACTTTTCCCAATTGGTCCGTTTCAGCTCAGTAATCTAAAACAAATGCTGTTTGATTGAATTGCTCCAACAGATCTCAAGAGCAGGAATTCTCCAAGGTCCAATCTAAAATTTCGTTTTGATAAACTTAGCCATTCAAGTTCTGGGCCAGTAAGTATGAACAAACTGCCTTGGGGGTCTCTGGGATTTTTGAGAGATTTTTTAACCATTGCTTGAGTTGTTCTCTTTCAATTGGGAACCACTTGCTCACAATTTATGGGTCGTATTGTTTATTTATTATTAAGGCCAGTACTCATATTCCACCTTTCTCACCCCAAAGGGGACTCAGTGTGGATCATAGAACACATATATGGCAAACATTCAATGCTGGTTATACAATGACAAGACAGACAACAGATAGAGGTATATTTAGGCTTTTTCTCATCATTCGGCATCTTTTGGAGGCTGTGCTCAGTTCTGGCCACGGGGGGTGCTGTCACTCCACCTCCTTGCTGAAGAGCTTTCTTTGTTTGTAAACTTTTCTCCAAAACACCGTGCCTAAAAGAACTCCCCGCTTAATGCGGTTCCTATTCATCCACTCACAAATGGCTCAGATCCAGACTATTTGACGAACCGCATCTCCCACTATAGACCAATTCAGACACTGCAGTAATGGGAAGAGGCCCCCTTCTCAGTCCCACCCCCGTCCCAAGCATGGCTGATGGGAACGAGAGAAAGGGCCTTCTCTGTGGCCACCCCTCACACGTGGAAGATGTCCCCTTCCTCTTCTGTTTGATGTTTTGTCTTATGTCTGATATAACAGGTTGCGTTTTTTGTTTAATTTTAGTTGTTAAGTCATAATTCATTTTTTATGTTAGGTTGCCTAATTTCGTTACTATGATGGTGTTGTTGTTGTGTTTGGGCATTGACTGTTTGCCTTTTATGTTTGGAATCCTCCCTGAGTCCCTCTGGGGAGATAGGGCGGAACATAAATAAAGTTATTATTATTATTATTATTATTATTATTATTATTATTACTCACATTGCTGTTTTCGATGCTCTAGGTGGGCGGGAGAGCTGGGTTGAAGGTCAGGAGCTCACCCTGACCCAGCTTCGAACTGTCAACCTTTCAGTTGGCAAGATTTACTGCAGCTGGTAATTAACCTGCTGTGCTAAAGCAGGCCTTCAAAATTTTTAAAAGTTGAGCTTATTAATGCTAATTTAGAAATTTATAGTTGCTAAATAAGACTAGGATTCCGTTCCAAAGTTTCCAGACCAACACACTTTGGCTGACAGGATATTCTGAGGTTTCCTGAGGTCCATGAGTCCAGCACAGATTCCTCTGAGGATGAACAAATTAAAAGCTTAATGCAGACAAAACAAAAGATGTTTCTGGTCAGCCAGACTCAGCTTATGTTAGATGGGGTTATACGCCTCCTTAAGACTCAAGTTCACAAGCTGAGGATGTTTCTTGAACTTAGAGGCCCAGGAGTGTTTTTAACAATGGTCACTTCCTTTCCTGCAAATGCTTTTTTAAAAAAATTTACCCCAACAATGTTTTAGAACTAAAGATTCTGAAAGAAAGGGATTTTTAGAGGGTGCTGTAGAGAGCAAATCCGGTGTGCTTGAGTCCGACTGACATCAAATACGCTGTCTTCTTTTCATACAGGCACACTAGCTGAAAGGCAAGATGACGCACCTGCAAAAGGTAAGTGTCTTTTATCCAATCTCACTAATACAGAGAGCACCTACACTGTAGATCTAATGCAGCTTGGCATTGTTGGGCAAATGGGATTATTAATAAAAGACCCTCCCCATAAATGTACAGCAGAGTAACTTATTAGCAGCAGCATGACCCATCACCAGTAGCCCAAAGTGATAAAAAGAACAAAACACACAGACCAATGTTATCTCTTCCATAGGAGCTTTTCTTCATAGCAAAATAATATGGTTGCACTATTTACAAGAACAAGGTTTCCATAACACAAATAAAGTTCTTTACACCCTTCTTTGCTTCCACGTTGGGCTTCTTTTTCATGAAGATAAACAGCTTTGCTCTCATAAGAGTCTCCTCTCACACTAAAGTTACACAGTAGCTTTTTACACACAATGGCCTTCAACCTGGGGCTTCCTCTCACTGAAGCTTCTCACACCTAGCCTACTCATACTGAGACCTACTAACATTGAGGCCTACCTCACACTGAGGCCTTTCACTCACTGAGGCCTTCTCCCACTGAGGGCTCTCTCAGACTGAGGCCTTCTCGCAATGAGGTCTCCTCCCACTGAGGGCTCTTTTGGACTGAGGCCTTCTCACACTGAGGCCTTTCACTCACTGAGGCCTTCTCCCACTGAGGGCTATCTCAGACTGAGGCCTTTCTCCCACTGAGGCAAACCAACATTGAGGCCTACCTAATATACTGAGGCCCTTCTCCCACAGATACCTCTTGCAAACAGAGAGCTATCTGGAACTGAGGGCTACTAAGCTACAGGCACAGCTGCTTATATAGAACTACAGCTTTTGCTGAGTAATTGCACCCATTTAACCCTTTCAGTACTTGACTCACATTTCTGTAATAAAAAAACCTAGTTAATTTTTAATATTTCTGACAGGCATCACATTAATTGCCATGGCTCAATGCTATAGAATGCTAGGGTTTGTAGTTTGGTGGGGGCACCAACACTATTTTGCAAAGAAGGATAAAAACTTTGTAAAAGTGCAACTCCCATAGCCTTTATTCTCCATTATCAATGCACCTTGACCGAAGTCTAGCACAGTGATTCTCAACCCTTTTTTTGACTAGGGACCACTTGACCAGGAACCACTTTGTCCAGGGACCACTCTCCAATATTAGCACCAAAAGGGTTACGAATCAGTTTTTGGTCAACTTTAGATTCAATTTGGTTATTTGTGGTGTTGATTCAGAAAATTGCATTGGAAAGAGCACATCAGCTCTAGTTTCTGATACAGAACATGTGCCCTCTGCTTGCCCACAGCAGGCCTGTAGCTAGGATTTTGATTCGGGGGGTGGGGGTGGGTTTGATTCGGGGAAGGGGGCTTTTTAAAAAAAATCATGTCAAGAGTGACTTGAGAAACTGCAAGTTGCTTCTAGTGTGAGAAAATTGGCCGTCTAATGTACCAGTAAGGTCTTTTCGCAGACCACCATGAGAATTTGGGGGGGGGGGTGAAGCCCCCCAAGCCCCCCCCCCCCCCCCGGCTACATGCTATCCACAGAAAACATATTTAATAAGCCTCGGCACTATCAGGGGTTTTGTGAAACCAATTGCTCTTGTTGCAACGGTGTAGCAATGGTGAGGCCACGGACCATATTTCATATTTTAGTTCTTGTGGACCACTGGTGGGAACCATTGGTCTAGCAGATTGTATCACTCTCCATCAGTGCAATCTGGGGTCTCACCTCATGATTATTTGAGGAAAGTGGATGCTATCTATCTATCTATCTATCTATCTATCTATCTATCTATCTATCATCTATCTATCTATCTATCTATCTTCTATATAAAGAAAATGTAATGTTCATTTGTGGGATTAACATAACTCAAAAACCACTGGACGAATTGACACCAAATTTGGACTTATTACACCTATCAGCAAACAAGTGTCCATCACTCATAAAAACACTGAAAACACCACAGAAGAGACTTAAAAAGCCAAAATTAAAAAAACATTACAACGCATGCGCAAAACCATATATATATACACACATATACACACATATATACACACAAAACACATATACACAGACTGGGCCACAGCAATGCATGGCAGGGGATGGCTTGTGTGTGTGTGTGTATACACACACACACACACACATACACACACACATTAGGAGAAATGTGCTCCAAATTTTCCATTGAAGGCTTACAGCCGAAGTTGTGAATTAAGGCAGAAACGGGAGGAAATCCAGTCAGAAAACTGAGAAATGCTGTAGAATCAAAATGGACAGACTCATCCATCTCTTGTGTGTGTTCAATATCAGACTGACTATTGCTTTTGTCATTCTTTTGCAGGGCATTTTTGTTCGGAATTGCTTTGTTAAGAGGAGAAAATGCTTTCTTATGACAGCATCTGTTTACAGCCCCCTAAGGATGCCATCCATGTTCTCCTAGCGTCCAGCTAGAAGCAAAAGTATGGGCAACTCCTGGAATTACAGATGTGTGGGATGGGTGAAAACCTTTTCCAAACTCTCATTTGTAAGACTGCCATTTTCTTGCTGCTCACAGCCTTGTGCATGGGTCTGTATCACATAACACGCACAAAGCTGACATTTTGTGTCGTCTTTGAGGCTCAAAGGGACCCTGGGACGGTCCGTGGAATTGTCTCCACTTGACCACGAAGGAACTGTTGACTTCTCTCCTCAACTGGAAGAGATATCACTGAGTCCAAGTTGGCTGTAAGATTCCTCCCAATTCACGCTCCGTTCGTTTTGGGTCTAAGGACATGTGTTTTCCATCCTGTATACTCGAATCAGCTTCTTTCTTTGGTATTTCAACGTTCACTGACCTTCTGTGTGCTCTTAACTGTAGCGTGTTCCTGGAGGAGGTCATGAATGCCACTCTATTGGTGTACCCTTTGACTTGAGAAACCTATATTGGTAACATAATACTGTGACTATTAACCATCTGAGTTAGCTCTATTATGGGCTAGTTTTTAAAATCCCCTTTAGGTCCTGAGAACCTCAACAGAGGTGCCCTTCCATTTCTCATTCTGATGTATCTCTCCAGACTTGTGATAAAGGTGACTGTAGAGTTTCCCACAGAGTTCATGGGCCATCGGATGCTAACATCTGCTCCAGGCAGGATCTCCAGACTGAGCATCCCCAGCAAATAAAACCCCTATGAATTCATACCAAACATTGGTCATGTCCTGAAAACTACCCTAGTGTTGAATTCCAACCTCAAATTGTTCCAAGTCTGCATCTTCAAGGAGAAGCAGCTAGATAGCATTAAGCTAGGTTGAGGGAATCCCTTTCCTCTCATTCCTGAAGGCCTATTGATGTGTCTGTTTTCTTTCACTCTACCTTTCCCCTCCCATCCTAATTGATGACGTAGCATGGAATCCTACAGGATACTCTTCTATTTTGGGAAATTTCCTTAAGAATAAGGTTATGGGCCCAGCACACTTCCACTGCACAACTGTGCTATTTTGGGGAATATCCCTAAGAATTAGGTTATGGGCCCAGCACACTTCCGCTGCGCAACTGTGCTATTTTGGGGGATTTCCCTAAGAATTAGGTTATGGGCCCAGCACACTTCCACTGCACAACCGTGCTATTTTGGAGGATTTCCTTAAGAATTAGGTTATGGGCCCAGCACACTTCCGCTGCACAACTGTGCTATTTTGGGGGATTTACCTAAGAATAAGGGTATGGGCCCAGCACACGTCCGCTGTGCAACTGTGCTATTTTGGGGGATTTTCCTAAGAATAAGGTTATGGGCCCAGCACACTTCCGCTGCACAACTGTGCTATTTTGGGGAATTTTCCTAAGAATAAGGTTATGTACCCAGCACACTTCCGCTGCGCAACTGTGCTATTTTGAGGAGTTTACCTAAGAATAAGGTTATGGGCCCAGCACACTTCCACTACACAACTGTGCTATTTTGGGGAATTTCTTTGAGAATTAGGTTATGGGCCCAGCACACTTCTGCTGCGCAACTGTGCTATTTTGGGGGATTTCCGTAAGGATTGGGTTATGGGCCCAGCACACTTCTGCTGCACAACTGTGCTATTTTGGGGAATTCCTCTAACACCTGGAATGCCTACAAGTTGGATAGGTGAGTGGTAGTTTTTCTGGACAGCATGAAGGGCTTTGAAATGTTGTGTGTATATACTAAGTAGTCAGTGGTGGAGTTCTCATCTTATTTAACTTCCTTCTCAAACTCTATAGCCTTAATGGCTCTCACAAGGTATATCCATGAGCTGCTCACATGTCTCTTATTTCCTTCAAAGCAAGGATGTGACAATCTCATTCCAGATTACCCTATGCACTCGTGTATAAGTCTAGAAATTTCAGTCCAAAAACCAACCCCCTGAAACTGGGTCAACTTATCTATGGATCAATGTGGCTACTGTACCTCAACTCTGGTCAGAAAAGGAACTATTCTCTTCTCTGAGTGACAAAATATAAGAGCTTAGTCCCTCCAAGGAGAACCTAAAAGAAGCATTGACCATCTCTACTTCCTCTATGGCTCCAATTTTGGCCATTGTGAATGTCTAAGTGGCAGTCCCCCTGAAATGGCATTGGCACATATCCCTCTCAATTGAACGACTAATCCATAGATCACATTAAAATCCCCAAAACAGCCCTTGACTTATACATCATGTTGATTTATACACGAGTACATACAGTAAACTTATTTCTATTGGAGTTTGTAATAGGTTTATTGTGTTCTTGAATTACTATTTTTTATTTTGTGGAACAGAAGGAAAAGTGAAGCATGGATTTTTCCTTGTTTTAGGTCTTCACAAAAATAGCATGATATTAACAAGTATATCCTATGAAGGAAAACACGGAATTTTGAAGGAAGCAAAAGGTGATTTTGCACAAAACCTTGTTTATTTCAACCATGTAGGAAAACCCTCCCATTGGTCATGCTCCTAATGTAAAATAAACAAAGATAATAAAATAGGGACTTGTGTATAAAAGTCTTTAAAAAAAGTCTGACAAACAGAAATATGTTTATTTTTTGTGTATTGGAAACCAATGCTTTGTAGCCAATTGCTGATGTACGTTGTAAATAATGTATATTTAATTTATTGCGATAGTAGAATCTTGTATTTGTTATTGTAAAAAAATTCTAAAGAGGGGGTCAGAAATGTATATTTTGTTGCTTAAATGTGTCTTTGCAAAATTCACAATTGAAAAAAATATTTTGTGTCCATCTGTCTCTTAGCGGTTTTTTTTAATTCGTTCTGGATCCAGGTCACCCTACCAGTTATTTGGAAACCCTCTGCATAGGACCCCTCAATTTAATGTGAGAGAAAGCCACCCAGGCTTTTGGCAAGTAGACATTTCAACACAAAAAGGAGTTTTCTGAATGTGCTCTGATAGACATCTGCCTAGCACCGCCTACCCATTCACACCGACACATATCAAAACAGAAGTATGAATGTACAAACTATTAGGCATCAAGGAATGTATGAAAAAGAAGAAAAGAAGTGACTTTGGCTTTGTTTGCTTCAGGTGCCACTGCTTCGGAAACAAACATGTTCCAGATTATCAACATCCTTCTTGAGTTGCTTTGCCCAGAACTAGACATTGGGTTATTCCAGATGAGGCCTGACCAGGGTAAGATAGAGGAGTATGACTTCCTTGATCTAGGCCAAGGATCCTCAAACTAAGGCCCACGGGCCAAATTCGGCCCCTCGAGCTTATTTTCCTGCCCTCTGACCTAAACTTTAGACTACCATCACCATTCGCTTCCTGTTGCTTCCATCACCCTCTTTTTGCTCCTCTCTTCTCCACTTTGCTCCTCTCTACTCCCCTCCCCTTCTCTCCCCTCCACTTCTCTCCTATCTGCTCTCCTCACCACTACTCTCCCCTCCGCTTCGCTCCCCTCCACTCCACTCCGTTCTTCTCCTTTCCCCTCCACTTCACTCCCCTCCCCTCTGCTCTGCTCCTCTCCTCTTCTTTCCTCTCCGCCTCGCTCCTCTCCCTTCCACTGCCCTCCACTCCTCCCTGTTCCTCTCCTCTCCCCTCCTCTCCCCTCCACTTCGCTCCTCTTCCCTCCACTCCTCTCCTCTCCTCTCTGTCCTCTCCTCTCCCCTCCTCTCCCCTCCTCTCCCCTCCGCTTCTCTCCTCTCCCCTCCACTCCGCTCCTCTCTTCTTCTTTCCCCTCCGCTTCGCTCCTCTAACCTCCACTCCTCTCCACTCCTCTCTGTTCTTCTCCTCTCCCTTCCTCTCTCCCCTCCGCTTCTCTCCTCTCCCCTCCACTCCGCTCCTCTCCTCTTCTTTCCCCTCTACTTCTCTCCTCTCCCCTCCACTCCGCTCCTCTCTTCTCTCTCCTCTCACTCCTCTCCTCTCTCCTCTGCTTTGCTCCTCTCCCCTCCACTCCTCTCTGTTCCTCTCCCCTCCACTTCGCTTCTCTCCCCTCCTCTCTGCTCCTCCCCTTTCTGCTCCGCTCTGCTCCTCTCTTCTTCGCTGCTCTCCACTCTACTCTTCTCTCTCTCTATTTTCCCACAAAATGGAGGGGATCCTTTCCACCCCATTCTTGCTCCCTCAAAACAAAGGGAGTGTGTGGGGGGTTTGTGTGTTTGACTATAATGCAGTAGACCACTCCGACCTCTTCTTCCTCCTCTTTCCCCTCCTTCTCTCTCCCTTCTTCTCTTTCCTTCTTTTCTTCCTTCTCTCCCTCCTTCCTTCCTTGCTCCCTTCCTTCTCTTCCTCTCTCTCCCCTCCCTTCTTCCCCTTTCTTCCTTCCTCCTCCATGTGCCCTTGCAGCGCCCTCGCCGCCACAACCCGCTAACTCGACAAGGCACGACAGCCCGAAGACTACCTCGAAGAGGAAAAAAAAAAGAAAGAAAAGGAGGTAGGAAAAAGAGAAGGAAGGAGAGAAGGAAGAAAGGCAGGATAGGAAACGTAGGGAAGGAAGGAAAAAGAGGGTGAAAAAATCCAGAAAGCATGGCATTGTGGTTTGAAGCTTGGACTGTGACTCTGAACCAACTGGGTGACTTTAGCCAAGTCACACTCTCTCAGCCTCAGATGAAGACAAAGGCAAATTTCCTTGGAATAAATCTTAATGAATACACTCTGTGATAGGGTTGCTTTAGGGTTGCCCTCAGTCTGAAGACACACAACAACAACAGTCCGCCCACTCAACAGTCTGAAGGATCATGAACAACAACAACTATATGCTCCCATAACAACAACAGCAATGGCAACAACAACTATAGCCCCCCCCCCACAACAGTCTGAGGGATTGTGAACTGGCCCTCTGCTTAAAAAGTTTGATAACCCCTGCTTTAGATACTCTACTCCTATTACTATCTCCCTATTACTATCTCCTTCGTGAGAATATCTTTGCCACCTTGGCCCTTGCCACCTTGACCCATATTCTGATATAAACAGACCATAGGGACGTCTCCACTGACCCTTTATCCAGTCTGGACTGTCAAACTCCATATTCCAGTCATGTAAGCAGTTACGGCCAGTTCCATCTTGACCCAATAACTTAGATGGTCCCATAGTCATAGTTTGCTCCAGATTCTGTGACTTTTGTTATTGTGGTCCAAAACCATATTAACCTGATGTAGCTCCATGGAATTGATTTGCTCAAAGCTTGGGATAAAAGGCCAGTGTAGACATGCCCAGCGTCTCCTAATACTTATCTTCAAAATTGAAGTTACATCACGCTCTCCTGGTGGAGGACACCAACTCCATATAGGAAGGAAGTCTATGTCAAAACCAAACCAGCCCACCTATTCTTGCAGCCAAACCCCCCCCCAATTCCAATCCTCATTTATCTTCTGTTTCTCCAGCTTATGAGTCTAATTTGCACCCCACAAAAATCTCCGACATCTGTTCATATGACAACCGTCAATTTGTTCATCCTCAGTGACCACCTGGGAAGTGGAGCCACCCAAGAAAGAGAGAAGAGTTCCTAAATACGACAGCTCCAATTTATCTCAACATTTTCTGGCAGGAAGTACTTTCATAAATAACCCATGCGACAGGAAACCCATTTATACTTCTTGGTGGGCTTTTGGAGAGATAAACAGCTCATAATTTCTCTTACAGGGGTGATTACACTTCACATCTTTGTTTCCCGCTGGGAAAACGAATACCGAGGGGAGCGGAGTGTGTGGACCATCACATCTGTGCTCCTTTTGATGCTGGCAGATACAAAATCCCATATTCCTTGGACCGGAATTGAGAAGGGATGAATCCAGCAAGGGAGAGGCAGAATTCATACCTCTTTGGACATTTCCTCTAATGGCATCTACACTGTAGAACAGTGGTTCCCAACTTTGTTTGACCAGGAACCACTTGACCAGGGACCGCTTGACCAGGGACTACTTGATCAGGGAACACTTGACCAGGAACCACTTGACCAGGGACCACTTGACCAGGGGCTACTTGATCAGGGACCATTTAACCAGGGATCACTTGACCAGGGACGACTTGATCAGGGAACACTTGACTAGGGACCACTTATCCAGGGGCCACTTTGACCAGGGAACACTTGACCAGGAACCACTTGACCAGGGACTACTTGATCAGGGACCATTTAACCAGGGACCACTTGACCAGGGACTACTTGATCAGGGAACACTTGGCTAGGGACCACTTAACCAGGGGCCACTTTGACCAGTGAACACTTGACCAGGGACCACTTGACTAGGGAACACTTGACCAGGGACCACTTTGACCAGGGAATACTTGACCAGGGACCACGTGACCAGGGACCACTTGACCAGGGACCACTTTGACCAGGAACCACTCTCCAACATTTGTACCAGAAGGGATGTGAATCAATTTTTGGTCAACTTTAGATTCAGTTTGGTTAGTTGAGGGTGCTGATTCAGAAAATAGTATTGGGTAGACCACATCAGTGCTTGTTTCTGCTACAGAACATATGCCATCCAGTAGTCACCTTCAGCTTGCCCACAGAAAACCATATTTAATAATCTAGAACTGATGTGGTAGAAGTTATCTTTAATGGGTAGTCAGCCTCTCCCAACATTCTCATTGCCTCAGAACTACAAGAGTTTCGTGAGACCAATTGTTGCCACATGGTTTCGAAGCAACAGTGTAGTAATGATGAGGCCGTGAACCATATTTTCGTTCTTGCAGACCACTCATGGTCCATGGACCACAGGTTGGGAACCACTGCTGTAGAATAAATGCAGTTTGATACCATTTAAATTGCTATGACTGCCCATTCTTCCAGTATACACAATTTCCCTTCTAAATGTTATTTCCACTGTACGAGGGTTGAATGAAAAGTAATGCCTCCACCTTCGTTACTTGGGTTTGGATGGGAATATTTTAATAAATCAAATGCAGAAATAATCCCTAGAATGTGCTCTTTAACTACCACATAATCATGAGACAATTGGATACATTTCTGCCAACAATGAACAAGATTTCTGAAGCCGTCATGGAAGACGTCGACACTCTGTTTCCGCAACTAGCATCTCACAGTTCTCTTAACATACCCATCGTTCACAGATCTTCCGATAGCCAAGCAAAGAAATCATGTGACCCATGATTATGCTTGAAATTTCTCTCTGAGTGATACAACAATCGTCCTGAATCAATCTGTCAACCTTTTGTTTGTGAAACTCGGTGGTTGCTGTCACAGGATGTCCAACTCTTTGTCAGATGTTCGCACCTCAACATCTTTAAACTTACTCGCCCAACGACACACAGTACTCACATCTACACAATCACCATAAACAGTTTGAATTCTCTGATGAATCTCCTTTGGGGTGACACCTTCAATGACTGTACGTTGCTTAAGCCGCATTGACTGACTGTGCAGGGGTTCCATACTTTGCACTTTAACAATGCAACCATTCAATGCTGAGGCTTCCTGCCAAAATGAAACTGTAGAGGAGAGTCTACTGAACAAACCAGTACCTGCTGCATACCAGTACTGCCATCTGTTGAGGAGTTTCGAAGGTGGAGGCATTACTTTTCATTCAACCCTCATAGAATGAATACAGTTTGACCTCACTTGAACTACCAGGGCTCAACTCTATGTAAGTCTGGGAGTTATCATCTTGCAAGGTCTTTAGGCTTCTTTAGTCAAAAAGTTTGGGAATCTTTACTAACGGCAACTCTCATGATTTCATAGCATTGAACTAAGGCAGTTAAAATGGAATCAAACTGCATTAATCCTACAGTGCAAATGTATCCCAAGTCTGAATCGAAAAGT